TCCCAGATAGAATATGATGTATTTGTCATTATTTACAAAATTATATAATATAATAATATTGTATAATTATATAATATTATCTTATTTCCAATTGAAACATTTCAAATAGTAAAAACTTATGTACAAGCTTGTGCGTTGCTACACGTTACGCTATGCGTTATGCCTTAAGGATCATCTACAATAGGGATCCGTAACCATAAGCCTGGATCCTGATACGGACAACAGCGCTTTGACACCAAATGCTGATTGGCGAAAAACGAGTGATGGGGGTAAATTTTACCCTCACAATCGGCTTTTCACCAATTAGCGCTGTGTGTCAAAGCGCTGTTGCCCGTATGAGGATCCGGGCTAATGCTAGATTTACACTGCATCCGATTTGCGTCGTACGACGCTTCGCAACCAATCAGAAAACAGGATTCCGATGATACGAAGCAAAATCCATCGGAATCCTGTTGTCCGATTGGTTGCAGAACGTCGTACGACGCAAATCGGATGCAGTGTAAATCCAGCATAACGTAACCGTAATGGTATGTTTCCACTGAGCGCGTCACGCATCGCATTGTCCATCGCGTACGATGCGACGCGAAAGGGAGAAAGAGAGGGGTTGTGCACATATATAAACTTCACTCTTTCTCTCTTTCGCGTCGCGTCGTGACGCGATGGACGACGCGAAAGGTGACGCGCTCAGTGGAAACGTACCATTAACGTACCATTAGCCCGGATCCTCATACAGGAACAGCGCTTTGACACAGAGCGCTAATTGGTGAAAAGCCGGTTGTGGGGGTAAAATTTACCCCCATCATCCGTTTTTCACCAATCAGCGTTCGGTGTCAAAGCGCTGTTGCCCGTATGAGGATCCGGGCTTAGCTTGGAATTCTATAATATACGTGACGTAAAGTATAGTATGTTAGTGTGCTAACATCGTTGTAAGCGCGTTCTGAATACGGGCCCTTATCTACAATAGGTATTTTAAGTCTTAATAAGAAATTGACCAACTACAGTTGAATGCGAGGAGAATAATTGATTGTGATATATTCATCGGCGTAAATCGAGCCGTGTAAACGTAGTCATATTTAGAACCCAATAATACTCGATTAATATGATTTTTATTTAAAACTGTATAATATGTTTAGTGTTATTGTCCGAGTTTGATTATTAATAGTGAGATGGTAATAAATGTAGGAAAAAAAAATTGTAATTTTACGGCCATATACGTATAAGATAATATATTATAGCATTACAAATACTTATTTATGGAACATTTATATAATAAAAAATCATGAATTTAATAATGTATCATCCAAATATTTATATATGTAAATAATTTCAATTTTATATCAATTATCGATAATGTCACCGTCCTTCAATTATCTCTGGGCTCTTTTCTATTAGGTTACAAAAATTTGCCTAGGATCAACCGCGTCTTTTTTTAATAGTATCTCGTCGGCGCTTGTACTAATTATTAGTACGAAATTATTACAACCAATTACAACTCATACAAACACGTATATATGTACAACAATATTATATTTTTCTTTGTATAAACAGCTGAAGAATAACAATTTGAATAATTCTCGATCGTACTTTTTTTTTCAATACGTAATTTATTTTATATCGGATCGATAAATGAACTAAAGAAATATCGAACATTTATTAATAAAAAATCATGTGAAATTAAAAATAGAATAATTCGATCTTTAAGAAGCTTTTTGGTTATGATCACACACAATTTCTTTTTTATTATATGCTAAATTGAAAAAAGTATTATGAAGTGCAGAGAAAGTGCCAGAGTGACAATTTTTATTAATGTGTGAAAAGAATATTTTATAATATGCATATGGATGTTGAATAACACAGGCCTGCAAAATTGGAGGTGTTGAAAGTTGATTGGGATTTAACTACGTTTTCTTACGTAATTTTTCGCGCTGAATCCGAATCCGGCGGCAGAATTGCTCTATCACGTCAGGTTTTTGAGAAAAGTGAGGTTAAAGGTGTCAAAATTGACGTTTTTTTGGCATATTTGTGATTTTTTTGCTAGCGAAGTAAATTTTTTTTTCTACTTTCGTTTACGCCATCTGAAAGTGTTAACATTTATCTTCAAAATATATTTTTTTTAACGCCGTACGTTTTTTTTCACCGAGATAATCTCTGTGTAGTCACACAAAGAAAAACATTTTTGACACAAAATGTTTGTGTGATTACGCAGAGATTAACTATGTTTTCTTACGTAATTTTTCGCGCTGAATCCGAATCCGGCTGCAGAATTGCTCTATCACGTCGAGATTTCGAGAAATCTTAACCCAAAACAGCCAAATAAGCCATTTTCAGCCATATTTGAAATTCAATTAAAAATTGATAAAATTTTTGCCGTCTAATCCATCGATGGTATCATTTACTACTATACAGCCCCTTCAAAATCCATTTTGGACTGTCCCAAAGCGTCCAAAATTACGTAAGAAAACATATAGTTAATCTCTGCGTAATCACACAAACATTTTGTGTCAAAAATGTTTTTCTTTGTGTGACTACACAGAGATTATCTCGGTGAAAAAAAAAACGTATGGCGTTAAAAAAAATATATTTTGAAGATAAATGTTGACACTTTCAGATGGCGTAAACGAAAGTAGAAAAAAAAATTTACTTCGCCAGCAAAAAATCACAAATACGTCAAAAAACGTCAATTTTGACACCTTTAACCTCACTTTTCTCAAAAACCTGACGTGATAGAGCAATTCTGCCGCCGGATTCGGATTCAGCGCGAAAAATTACGTAAGAAAACATAGTTAAATCCCAATCAACAAAACCATGCAGGCCTGTGTAATGTAATCGATAACTATAAAATATCGCAGCACTTTTCATAAAATTTCAGTATTATATTGCACGTTATTATTTTCTCTGAACTGATATAATTTTAATGTCCCTTCTTTACATGCTTTATCGTATTAAATCGCGTAACCTTCCTTCTAATTGTTGTCTTTGTCACGTTTATTGCGTGCTCTCTCTCTCTCTCTCTCTCTCTCTCTCTCTCCCTCCCCCCCCCCCTCCCTCTCCCTCTCCCTCTTCCTCTCCCTCTCCCTCCCCTCTCTCTCTCTCACTCTCACTCTAATTCGAGAATACGTCAGAACAGCAACTATACTATATTGCTGCTGCTAAAGTGCTGGCTGCTGCATGATTTCAGCAGACAGCTTTCAATAGTTTTAGTATCGTGGCAACTTGTGGTAGCTACTGACAACTTTGCTGTGTGACCAAGTACGTGTGACAAATACATAGTGTCGCGTAGAAACAAAAGCAGGTAATTAGCGATGACTAATAATTCCTTTTCATTCTTTCGCACAAAGTTCTATGAAAAATGTCTATTAGTGTTCATTTATTGTATGTGTGTGTATATTCTCAAACTGCATAGACCTCCAAGGAACGTCCTAAAAACATCCTGAAACCGTCCCTATATCCTCTAAACGGTTTTAGGACGTCTACTTATTGTTAAAGTGTGTTGTGTGGATCTATAGAAAATCCTCTTTCACTCACTCACTCATTCACTCAAGAAGATTACATAGCGATATAGAGTACTTTCCATTTAGTAATACAAGTCGACACAAAACATCAATTTATCCTTCTTGAAATTCAAAAGGTAACAAAGATAGAACATCATCTGTGTTGATTTATGTCATCAAATGAGAAGCACTCGTGGTCAAATATATTTCAGAATAACTTTAATTTTAATCAGAATATAACATTTTCGTTTTTAATAACAATGGATCAATAATCCTTACGTTACATACGTATCATACGTACAGTTTGTGTTATAATTGAGTGTTCAGTGATGTTAAAATGTTATCATAAACAAAATTACTATAGAATGCAACTTGACATTTTCCATGCAATTTTTCCTAGCTTTTCGCAGGAAACTTCTGTGATCCGTTCAAAATCTAATTCTTTTATATTCAGTATTGGAAGTATGAGTTTTTCATGTAGAAACACATGGTGTTCTGCCTTTTTTTTTTAATTAATATTTATTTTTAATTTCTCGCGATTCTTTTAGCGATACGAATAAAAAGATGGTTACGAACTGTACATGTATAGTGACTGTACGTATATGAATCTCCCTCCTTCTCTCGGATGATATTGCGTCGTGTCGATCCAAGGATAGCAGCAGTATGAAAATACCATGAAGTGCCACGTTCTGGATTGCCATAAATTAAATCTCTGTGCTCTGCATACAAAAATCATTGACTCGACTAAAATCTATTGTCTTTGTAATATTTATAAAACAAATGGCGAGCTGTATAAAATATAGACGATGCGACTTAATCTCGCTCTCCTTAAAATATCCTAATAGAAATATTTAATCATCTCTACTATATAATTGACACTCAAAAATTTTTCTTAAATAATTTTTAAAGAGCACTTTAAAAACTATAAAAAATTTTGATAAAGGATTGGCTAAATATATTAGCGGCTTCTTCTTCTTCTTCTATCTTTCTTCGATAACTTTCCAGTGAACACAAAGTTACATGTAACGTACCTGTTAATTGTAATTTCCCACACGTGTTGTATTACAATTATATTGTTGAGTGGGAAATTACAACTAACAGGTATATTACATGTAATTTGTATTTACTGGGTTATTATAAGCATTTTATCTTGTATCTTTATGAAACCTATTTGTTTTCAGAATGTTTTCGCGCGCTATGTTTAATTTTTTTTCTGGGGCGTTGTTAATAATTGCCCTTATTCCGGATGCGGCATCTTATAACAGTGAGTAAATAACAATAATTAAATCTCTTAGCGATTAAATTTATTACAATATGTAATATATTGAGAAAGAAAGAGAAAAAATATGTTTTCATTTTCTTATTTTTCAGAATATGGAAGAACTTGTAAGGACATTGGCTGCCGTACTGATGAAACATGTGTAATGGCCGAGGATCCTTGTACCGGCTATACAGATAAATGCGGACGATATCCGACTTGCCGGAGGACAAGTGGTAAGGAACGACTTAATAGCTAATTTATCTCAACAATTTCAACAATTGATCTTATAAATCAAGAATATATATGTACATCACACGTGTCATACGATAATATTACGTATGTACGCATGCACGCATATATTATTTTTCTAATTTCAAAAGATAAAGGTAAAATTATTACACTTTATTGCTTTAGTATATCGATGTTAATATCGAAATGTTTACACTAGAGTGTGTATTTATATTGTATCTTAATAATTTAAAAAAAAATTTTACAGATGTAAGTTGTACTAGTATGGTTTGCGGAGAGAATGAATACTGTAAGAGCGAAAATGGTGCGCCGAGATGTGTAAGAAAGCCTACAGGATTAGGTAAGTGATTGCAATTTTATATTTAATTGGCATTCAATATTCGACACATTGCGAGCATGAAAACGTAAAAATGATAACTATGCATGAATAAAAAGCATGCTGAAACTAAGTAAAATAAATTATTTGGGATTATGGAATTTAAAATTTTTCACGCTTATGAGCAAAATAAATCTTCATTATGAGTCTCATGTATTTCATAGCATGTATGGGATTGGAATGAGGAAGGCGTGATTTCTTCAAAAAGACAAAGCGAAAAAATGTCTACTTAATCCTCTCTATTTATTGCGCAATCATGGACCTCATAATTCTACATTAAAACGTACATATATTTTTTTTATTTTAATTGTTAATTGTGAGTTAACAAGTGAGATTCCCGTACAAAAACAATATTTATTGTTAACATATTATTCAATGTAACATACTATATAGCATATTACTATCAAGTATTATTATAATGTATATTATATACATATATATTATATACATATATGTATTATGTATATTCTATTATTATAGTTAATTTATTATTTCTTGTAAATTTATATAGCCCACGTGTATTCACACATATAAAATTTTCAACGATGCACACAAGTAAAATATTTCAGTTTTAATAGAATATTTTGATAAACATAAACACTACTTTTTTTACTGAATACGAAAAAATGTACATACATATATATTTTTTTACGTCAAATCATATAAGATCTAATGATGTCTTATTACCTAAAAGTCTTTACACGTATATTGACGTGTTTATTGTCTGGATATAAACTTATTATACAAAGCAATATATTGTTTCATTTTTTTCTTTTAATTTAAACATAAATATATAAAATTGTTCTTAGAAATTCCTTAATAATTTGCTCCGCTGAAAGAGATATTTTATTCTTAGTATTTTCTAAATTTAATATTTCTTTTTTGAACGAAGAAACTTTCTGATACGTCATCCTTGTTTAATCCAAACTTGAACAAAAGAAATAATAAATAATCTCTGAATATTTAATATAGCAATAAAATTTTATTGCAACTCGTTATCATCTTGCAATGTTTCGTATAATTTAATATTCCATTTGTGTGTTTGCCAAAAATACGCACAGTACGAAGTGAGTGAGCGTCCTTACAGGCTACGAATCAGCTGGCGTGTCTTACGTGAACGGCGAGCGAATAAACAGTGGAAATAACGCAAATCCATATGCGAATGCCAATGCTCCACCAATGCCAGCAATACCACCATATCCATCTAGTGATAGCGAACATCATCGTTCTTCTTCTGGAAGCAACTTAGGATATCCACCATATCCCAGTAATACCGGTACCTCTGGACATGGATACCCACCGTACCCACAATCGACTAACCAAGCTGGTCGTCAGGACTTGGGATATCCGCCGTATCCAACGCAAAACAGAATGCCTACACCAGGACAATCAGCTTATCCGGGTTATCCGCAAAACTCTGGATATCCTCAAGCTCCAGTAAATTCACAGTATCCAGGATACCAAAATTATCCCTATCAAAATTATCCGAATCAACGTGGATATAACTACAACTCAAATTCGATGTATGGAAGAAGGAATGCTGCATCAGTCGAAGCAGTTGCCTCCATGATGCTTGTTGGATTTTCTGGATTATTCCTCCTTGTCATGATACGGTGGTGATCCAGCTAAAAGTGTCATGTTTTATCTGCGTCATGATTATTGTTTTGCTATTCTTTATCTTAATTACAGCATAGTCCATGACTATTTATTAAGGAAAGTATTTTGCAGGAAGTGTTATACAAAAATTCTTGTACAGATATTTTATAATATAAATCAAACGCGAATGATATTTTTAAAATATAATATTTTATAATATTTTTTCTTATATATATATATATATATTTATATATTTATATATAACTTTATCGTTATATATATTTGAAATTACATATAACATGTTAATTATACATAGCACATTAATTATATATAACATGATAAAAGCGCATATATTGACTGTAAGTATCCAGACGACTAAAATCAGGTCATAAGACGTTTTTTGCGTTTAAAAGATGACTTAAAGACGTCGTATGTCATAATTTTAGACTTGTGTTGTTTGGGTAATTTTACAGTGTTTTGGAGAAAACAAATTTTATTCTCTAATTCAATGATTTTCTTAATTTATGAGGAAGAAAATTCACTTTCGTCGATATCATTTATCCTAATCCATTACATTAGTAATTAGGAGTTTACGATTTTATAAAAATATTCTAATTTTTTCCGCATAATTATATATTTATATGCATGTATGTGTGCGTGTACGTTTATAATTTAGAAATGCTTTTAAATTGTAAAGTTTTCAATGAGCTACGCGTCATTTCTTTATATTTTCATAATTTGGACGATTTATAAAACGTTTCATGAGCAATTCTTATTCAATATGGGTAATAGGTATTTTATAAATGAATGGGTTATCAGCTTGAACTTTGACACATGTTATCTCTTCATACGCCATATAACGTATAAGCAAATTTAAATGAACTATTACTGCGTCTTACTGATATTATTTTTTTTATTTCTTTTGATTTAAACTTAATGATATCAGTAAAAACATGGTGGAAGTAATACTTCTACCAAGAGTAAAAAAGCACATTACATTTATTATAATCATTGTAGATACGAGAGAGCACAACTATTTATTTTACACGCATAAATTCCTTTATATGTACAATTTATTTGTAGCAAAAGATAAATAAAAAAATAATGCTGCAAATGTAGACATAGCATATAGAAATTGTATTTATTATAATTGGCTGTTAATTTTATCATTCTTCTCGCGTATAAAAATTATATTAAGAGAAAACTATCAAAGATTAAAAATAATATACAATATTTTATGTATTATATCATTTTATATTGCAAGAATGAAGAAACAGCCATAATATACAGCAATAACTGATAAAAATTTGATCTTGATTTTCGTATTGGTTTTTTTTTTTCATTATATATGATTTAACAGCATTACCTGTGGGACTAAACCAAGTGTCGCATCGATCGACAACAAGAACGCCATTGCCGCCGCCTAGATCTTCATCGTATGGAGGAAGATTTAGTGGTCACTCCGGTTCCAGAAATACCGTAGGTGATGGCTCCATTTTCAATCGTTTATTCGGCAACGACCGTCATCCTCGACCGACCAGCTCTGTCAGAAGCACTACGCAAACAAATGGAAACTATTACAATACTCACACTCACGTGGATAATTATGGAAACAGAATTTGGACATTTTCTGGTTAAAAATTTATTTACATGTTTCATTTACTTTTAATTTCGAAATGTTAATGTAAAGTGTCAATATTGATGTTTATATCATTTTAAATATATAGCACTAAATTATATTTCTTTGGTCTGTAGAGTAATAAATACAATGTAATATTAATTACTCATAATAATTGGAATAAACTTCATTTATAAAAATTATAAATTTTTGAATAATATACAGTTTTAGATATGCAATAGTAAAAAAATCGTAAAATCGTCAAACTGCTTTATTAAATTAATATTATATAAAAAAATTGTGCGGTTAACATAATTGATCAAAGATATAATAATAATTCATCAAAAGATATAATTCTTCTTTTAATTCAGAGAGTTTGAAAAATTCTTTCTTATTTTTTAATTTTTAATATCCAGTAATTTTTTCCAATAAAATCTAAATGATTTTCATTTAATGCTTTGAGAAATCAAGTAAGGCATCTTTGCTTTAATTTAGTATAATGAATGATATGCACGCATACAAATACGAATTTGACTTTGCGCTATGCACATGTATATGACAGTTGTTATATGTCCACATCTTTATCTCTTCAAAATGTTTAGCAATATAATTCAGTTTATAACACTTGTGAAAAATAATTCAAATATGATTTTATCTCATCTCTTCTATTTAAAATATCTTGTAGACATTGCAATGCGTGCTGTAGTGCAAGCCTTATCTGCATGTGTGCACGGTAAATGTTAATCCAACAACAATTGATGATGCTTTTTGATAAAAATAGATTATACATATTTCATCTTTATACCCTTGAGTATTTTTTATAACTTGCATTGTTACTGTATGCAGAGAATGAAATGAGGACACGAACAATTCCAAAACGACAAACTAGTTATCCAACAGCAACCGAAACACACGGCTCTTCAGATACTCCTAAAAATTCAGACGACCAATCGTATCCTGCTAGATCTTCTGGTTACCCATCCAGTTCAGGATATCCTGGTAGCAGTTATCCAAATTCCGGATCTTTGAGAACTTCTGATTCATCAAATCAACCGCGATCTGGTTATCCATCCAGTCAATCATCCGGTTATCCAAACAGCGGTTCTGGTTATCCATCCAGCGGATCGTCCGGTTATCCGACAGGTGGATCATCCGGTTATCCGACCGGTGGATCATCCAGTTATCCGACTAGTGGATCATCCGGTTATCCGTCCAGTGGATCATCCGGTTATCCGTCCAGTGGATCATCCGGTTATCCATCTAGCCGGTCTAACGGATCACCCAGCCATTCTAACAGTGGATTATCCGGATCTCCGTCCAGTCAGTTTGGTTATCCGTCCAGTGGATCCTCTGGCTATCCTTCGAGTGGCTCATCCAATTATCCATCTAGAGATAGTTCCGGTTATCCAACAGGATCTGCATATCCAAGTAGAAATAGCGGTTCTTCAGGATATCCAGATAATTCTAGAAATTTTAATAGCGAGGAGACTGTTAGACGAACTGGCGCTAGCGCTGTAAATGCTGGCTATCCGAGCAATCTACGCACATCCATATATCCAGAAGGAAATCCGCCATACCGTGGTAACTATCCGACTCAAAATGCAGGATATCCGTACAATAACCAACGTTCTCCATATCCTAATCAAGGATATTCAAATGGGTATCCACAAAATTATCCGCAAGCAGGATATTACCCCGAAGGACATTATCAAGGTCAGAATTATATGACTACTACCAACCGTCCTGGTATTCGAGATCAATTGACAAATTTTGCCCGAAATATGGCAGAAAAGGTGCTGACGCAAACGATACTAGATCGCATCACAGGCAGACATCAATAAAATAACAGTACTAGCATTTTTGCACTCTATAAAATCTGAGTCAAAATGTCTGAAAATATTAGTTACATGTATAGAAAATAGCACTTTCTAAAATTTCTTTCTCCCTCTAAAGAAATATTGTTAATATAATTTAATAATTTTATGCATTAAATATTTTAGCAAAAATCTAGTCTTAAGTTAACTTTCAGGAAGCAGATATTTCAGTGGAAAAGTTATCGGCATACACAGGTTTATATACGTATAAATTTTATACATTAAAAATTTTTTTTAATTTTCTTATGTTATACATATATAAAAATTTTATATAGATATTAAATTCTTTTAAAATATTATATCGTTTATAATTTGGATTTTAACGTGATTAACTTATGGTTATAAATGGAGTAATTCAGGATGTCTTTTATATATCACAGATATATTTTTTGCAAATTAGGAATATATATATATATATATATATATATGCGCGTTAAACCTGCTTTTAAAGCTTTCTTGTACAATCAAATAATTTTAAAAATTTGTAAAAATAAATCTTGATAATAAAGAAATAACAAAATACATTTATTATTATCTAAAAATTTTAAATTATTTCTTATCCTTTTAACTTTGCACATATATAATGTGATAAAGTAATAAAAATATACAAGATTTATAATTCATCTCTTTCTTGGAAAAACTCTATTTTCCTCACACTTCCAAGAAATAGTGGTACTCTGCTTGGTTTATGTTCAATTGCAAACATGAACGGACGATCCACCATGAATTCCATTGGTGAAGTTGCCATCCTTTTCAGTCTCATTCCCACAACTGTAACAAAGTTCCTTATTCTAACAAAAATTCATCTAATTTTTTATCATTCATAAAGACACAAATTACCTGTCGCAGCAGCAGCTTCCGAACCTTCTTCATTAATTTCTATGAAAATTTTTTGTAATGCATGACTTACTTTCAGAGGAATGTTTGAGAGCTGTGTAAAATCCGCATCATCCTCAAAGATTGTATTTAGACCAATCTACAAGCATGTATTTTCATGTACTAGCTGTTTAAAACGTATTTCATTAATTTCATATTGCTTACCTTACGTAAAGTGTCTTTCAAATCTATAGTAATTTCAAACTTAAATTTAGGTAAATATAGTGCAACCTCGCCGATAGACCTAGGTTCATTTGCCAATGTTGTCCAGTTAAAATTATTTTCTAAAACTTGCAATTCAATCTCTCTATCTGGCAATAATATTATCATTACAATGTCTTGATTCTGTAAAATTGTACTTTAAATTAATTTTATTTTTGTAAGTCTTTTTTATAGGTTAATCACATATATATATCAAGGTAATCACTAACCAAGTATGGAATTTCAATAAATGTCGTATTCCAAATAGGTATTTTGCCATAAGCATACTTTAATGTTTTAAACATTGTCGGAACAAGATTCGTTTCTGTTTTGGAAATATAAAATTTGCGCTTTACTGTATTCATTTCATCAAACTTGTGTAGCCATTTATTCTTAAAATAAATAGCATTTATCAACATAATTCTTGTATCTTCATCAATATCATCTATTCAAAATAATTTAATTAATAAAAATGTTTAGTATGTAGTGTGTTAATCTATATTGAATTATTATCATTATCGTGTAACATACTAGAAGAAATTATGTCAAATATCTTATTATTTGTTGCTTTTTGAACCCATGAATTAATAGTTTTTACAACAAGCTCGTTATTTCTGAAGTTCAACCTTGAAATTGAAGACTGAAATATATTTGTGCATGTCGCTAAAAATTCAGCCATTAAATCAAATCCATCTTGAATATATATTTTATTTGCTATATGCAATTCAATGTTTTCAATGCCCTAAAATATATTTAAATGTATACATGATTCTCTGAGAATTAATTATAAGTATTATGTTCTCTTAACCTTACTTTCAACAAGATAATCAGAGTTTTTAATTTATTATTTGCAGAAACTATATTGTCATAATGAAGAACAGATTTCAATTCGTTCAATGTAGATCCTCCAGCACCATTAGAAAGTAAAGATAATATCATATGCAAACTTAAAGGAGAAATTATAACGTTGCTGTCAGTGTTGGTTGTTAAACTCTGAAATGACAAATTATAAACTAGAAAACTCTTGTATATGCAGTTTATATAAAATATAAAAATATAGTGATTATATACCTTGTATAACGGAATCATAAAATTGTTACATGCTGTAGATAAGGTTTTAATATCATTTTGTTGTTCACCTGACATGTTTTGATAAGACGATGCTAGTGCACTACCAATAACGATCGCAAATAAAACTATAAAAAAAAAGTTGATTATAAAGTTGGGCTGCTGTTTTCAATAATTCTAAGAATTTTGATTGAAACATATATTAGGTGGGAATTTATCAATATTGATCACACACCATTCCATGTCCACGTAAACATTCCGCCATGACTGCGCTTGCCGCTTGGTCAAAATACTATCGTGAGGCGTGAAAGGCGTGAAATATAGGGTGCGTTCCGTTTCTCGCATGATGCGCATAATGCATCGTTTATCCTTGTTGCTCACCAAATGTTAAACAAGGACAATGGATGCATCATGCACATCATGCGCGATACGGAACGCACCTATTCTTTCTCATACACACGACAAGGCGCGCGCGCGCACACACACACACCACACACCACACACACACACACACACACACACACACATTCTCTCTCTCGTAAGTAAATATATTTCGAGTAAACAATTCAGAGAATGATTAACTCGATATGTTAATTATTAAACGCATTTTTATTTTTTTTTCAAGTGCCATACTGCCATTGACTGGCATTGACTAATAATAATTTTTAAATGACTAGGTGAAATCTTTCTAAAGTTTAAAAATTTGAAAATTTCGATAAAAAAATAGACGTACGTATTGTAACGTTTATATATATAATTCAATTTTAATCGAGAGTTTTCTTCTCTAGAATAAGTTAAGTTAGATGCTATTTGTGTTGAACCTGCGTCAGCTGTTAATTTTACAATGAATCAGTACTGTCAGTAGTCTACGGTAGTTCTAATCAGTCCTAATGGGCCTTCTACAATAAGCCGCAAGTCAGAAGTTCTAAGCGATCTTAAGTCATAATCGGTGAAGTTGGCCAATAGCTAACTTGAACGACTTGGTTAAGACTGGTTAAGACTTCTGACGTTCTGACTTGCGGCTTATTGTAGAAGGCCTATTAGTCATGAATCAGAAGTCAGAAGCTAAATATTGACCAATCACAATCGTCAATTTTTAACTTCTGACTTCTGATTTATGACTAATGACTTATTGTAGAAGGCCTATAAGTCTTATCGATAAATCGATGAAGTTGGCCAACAGTCAAATTTTGTACGATCAAATTCGACTTTATTCCTTCACATTAGTCGAACTACACAGGCTACGTTCCAAAACTTCCCCTCTGAGGAAAATTTTACTCGAAATATATAGTACACGTAATGTATATATATGTATATATACTATAGCATATAAAGTAAAATCTTCCTCGGAGAGGAAGTTTTGGAACGTAGCCCAGGGTGCTTTCCATTTGATAACACACGTCGACATAAGCGTCATTCTATCCTTCTTGACATTCAGAGAGTGACAAAGATAAAACGATACTTGTGTTAACTTGTGTCATCACCGAATAGAAAGCATCCAATATTAACATACTTGTAGATGCGAAAAATCATAGTCATCACTGACTAAAATTTCCGACTACCGACTCATTGATAGAATCAGCTTTAAAGGAAACTATAATATCTTACGGGACAGGTAATTTTAAACCAATAATATTAGTTTTTAATTTTCAGAGAATCTCCGTTCACGTTTCACGCATGATGCATCATTTATCCTTGTTTAACATTTGGTGAATAACAAGGATAAATAATGCAACATGCGCATCATGCGAGAAACGGAACGCAGTTCTTGTCTTTTATTTCCCTTCTGTTCCGCCTTGTTATGAGAAAAATTCTACTTTCCTAAGGCGATGAAGTTTATACAATCAATAAAAATATAATTCAGCAAACTTTTTAATAATATATAACAATGAATTAATATATTAAAATAACACAATAATCCTTTAAATACACAAAAAGTAATGTATATTTGTGTCGTCTGCAAGTTAGGCAAAAAAATTGTATGAATATGTTTGGTAAAATTGTAGGGTAAGAGAGAAGTAACTGTAAATTTTTATATAATGCATATGCATGTAATAATTAATACGCGCTTATTATACATATAGATTTTCTTTCTCTTGTATATGTATATCTCCGTTCGTAAGGTAAACTTGCGGGTAAAAGGATCGTTTAAAGTACAAAAAGCATAATGTATGTAATTTCTGTTATCTTTAATAAGTAATGCTTCCGTATGGCGGAAAAGATATATCAAAATATAGCATTACTTATTAAAGATAAAAATTAAAGTATTTTTAAATTAAGTGATTTTTGCATTTTAAAAATGACCGCATTTTACTCAAGTTTACATTATATACAGAAAAAAAATAATAAAAAGAAAAATTTAAAAATAATTAGGAGGATAATTAATTTCGCATTTTTTTAAACAAAAAAACAAAATTTGTGAAAATGAGAAAAAACTGCCTATATATATATATATATATATATATATATATATATATACACACAAAA